TTCAACAGGGGGAGTTTACACAAAATCCAAGAAAAAAAAATAAAATGTAATAAAACTTATGATCCTCCCCTTGCGAGTATCACCGGGATGAACCCGTATCAACAATGTTTCACGGGTCCCACGCCACGTGGCAGCCCGCGATTAATCCATTATTATTATTATTATTATTTTAAAAAAAAAAGCAAATGAAAAAAAAAGAATTTCTTATGAACCTCCCCCATCGGTTCAGGGGTGCTCTAACTCCATCAAAAAAAGATATAGTACCTGCAGTATCTTTCCAGAAGTAGAAATAATTTTACTCTCTTAATTCCACTTGGATTGTATGTAAACTAAAAATTAGAGTTTTGTACATGTTGTTAACAAGACTCTCGTTTGCAGGTTATAACAGCCTCAGAAGATTAAAAAACTTAGAGATTCTCGATTTCTCCTCAAATAGTTTCAATAAGAGCATATTTCCCTTTCTCAACGCTGCTACATCTCTTACAACCCTTGTTATTAAGAATAACTACATGGGTGGCTCTTTGCCAGTTAAAGGTGTGTGTGTTTCTGTTTGTAACGAGTTGCCTATTGCAGTCTGTGTTTTAATTGCAGTTCTTATCATTCTTATATTCTCTTGGACTCCCTTTCAGAATTAAAAGACTTGACAAACTTGGAACTGCTTGATATGAGTGGAAATATGTTTAATGGCTCCATTGCAGGTAGCATCTACGTCAATTTTATTCAAAGTAGAGCGTTAACAGATCTATCTTGATGCATAATTGTGAGTTGGTTCAAGCCATCTCAAAGATTATCCTATCCATACTAATATAATAGGTGTCTTGCTTTGTGTATCTTTTTTCAGTGGCAGAGTTTGCTCACATGAAAAAACTGAAAGCTCTGGATCTAAGTTTCAATGATTTTTCTAGCTCAATGGAATTGCAAGGCTAGTATCTTTCCTTCTAACCTTTTTTCATTAGGGATGGAGATGAATAGCATATATATTTATTTTCCGATGATAACAATACTGTAAGGTAAAAACTTGTGGCCTTTGCTTTTTTCAGAACTAAGGAATCTGACTAACTTGGAAGTCCTTGGTTTTGCATGGAACTCATTTGATGGACCAATACCAATAGAAGGTGATATGTGTTTGCTTTTACCTATGCATGTGAGCAACATAACAACTACTCTTGTTATACTCATCATATTGTTGTTTTCTTTTGCAGTTTCTTGTGAAATGAAGAGTCTGCTAGAGCTTGATCTTAGTGGAAACTATTTTTTAGGTCAGATTCCTCCATGTTTAGGTAGCTTGAACAAGCTACGGTTTCTTGACCTCTCATCAAACCAATTAAGTGGAAATCTACCATCTAGTTTCAGTAGCCTCCAGTCTCTCGAATATCTGTCGTTGGCAGATAATAGCTTCACAGGCTTATTTTCCTTCAATCCACTTGCTAATCTAACAAAGCTCAAGGTGTTGAAACTTTCTTCACCATTTGGTAAGGTAGAAGTAGAGCCAGAAAATACGTGGGAGCCATTATTTCAGCTGAGTGTTGTTATGCTACCACTTTGCAACTTGGAGAACATCCCTAACTTCCTCAGCAACCAGAAGAACTTGCATCTAGTTGATCTATCCAACAATAAATTATCCGGAGATATTCCTACGTGGCTGTTGGAGAATAACCCCGAACTCGAAGTCTTACAGTTGCAGAATAATTCATTCACTGTCTTCAAGATATCTGCAATAGTGCATCATAATTTGCAGGTTTTGGATTTTTCAGACAATGACATCAGTGGTGTGTTCCTTGATAATATTGGTCATTTGCTTCCTAGTCTGGTCCATATGAATGGTTCAGATAATTTTTTCCAAGGAAATTTCCCGTCGTCTATGGGTAAGATGATGAACATTTCATTTCTGGACCTCTCTTCTAATAACTTCTCTGGAGAGCTACCTAGAAGCTTTGTCACTGGTTGTTTTTCATTACAGTTCTTGAAGCTCTCTCACAACAAATTTAGCGGCCAATTTCTTCCTAGAAGAACAAGCTTCACTGCACTCTCCGTGATCAGAATCAATAACAACTCCTTTACAGGGAAGATTGGAGTTGGTTTGCTTAGCTCCACTATGTTGTCAGCACTAGACATGTCCAACAATTTTCTCACAGGTGCTATTCCAAGTTGGATGTCTGAGCTATCTTTTTTGGATTACCTATTGATATCAAACAATTTCTTAGAAGGTACTATTCCACCTTCTTTGTTGGCTCTTCCCTATCTTTCTCTTGTTGACCTTTCTGGAAACTTATTATCTGGAGCCTTACCGTCACATATTCGTAATATAGACGGGACCCGATTGTTCCTACAGGACAACAATTTCACTGGACAAATTCCAGATACATTTTTGAAAAGTGTAAACATACTTGATCTACGGAATAATAAACTCTCTGGGAGTATCCCAGAGTTTGTCAATCCCAGGGATGTAAGTGTTCTTTTGCTGAGAGGGAATAATTTAACAGGATCTGTTCCAAGTAAGCTATGTGATTTGAGCAACATCAGACTTTTAGATCTTTCAAACAACAAGCTCAACGGCTTCATACCTTCCTGCCTCTACAATTTATCATCTGCACTGAGAGGAGAGATGGATTTGAATCCCTACTTTGCGGGAGAATCCACTGGAGTGAGCCTCCAGTTGAAAGTTTACCAATCCACATTTGTGGTAGATACGTTTGACTTGTCTTACTTTACCTATATGGATATTGAAATCCAGTTTGCAGCAAAACAAAGATATGATTCTTACATTGGAGCATCTGAGTTCAGAGGAGGAACACTTGATTATATGTATGGGTTGGATCTGTCAAACAACGAACTAAGTGGTGTTATCCCAGCAGAGCTTGGCGGTCTCCTGAAACTACGAGCCATGAATTTATCTCACAATTTCTTGTCAAGCTCTATACCGGACACCTTCTCCAAACTGAAAGACATTGAGAGTCTTGATCTTTCTTATAACATGCTGGATGGAAACATTCCTCGGCAATTAACCAACCTCACTTCTCTTGCTGTTTTCAACGTCTCCTACAACAACTTGTCAGGCATAATTCCAGAAGGAGTACAGTTTAACACCTTCACCGAGGACAGCTACTTAGGCAATCCACTTCTCTGTGGACCACCGACCAATAGAAGCTGCGAGACTAAAAAGAGTCAAGAGGAAGGTGATCATAATGGAAAAGAAGAAGAAGAAGATGAAGCTAACATTGACATGATGGTCTTCTATTGGAGTACTGCTTCAACTTGTGTTGTTACACTGATAGGCATTCTTGTACTTATGTTCTTCGATTGTTTTTGTCGTCGAGCATGGATCCATCTTGTCGATGCTTTCATCGCCTCAGCAAAAAGTCTTTTTTCTTAAAATCACGTCAGCTCAGTGATTTTCTTATTCAAGTTTGTTGTTTGGATACATTGTGTTCCTGTAAGTGTATGTGCATTGGGATTGATTAATATGTATGGAAGTCTTTTTTCATGTCATGTTTGGAACTAAGGGATTCAAGTTGAACGAGTGTTATCTCACTACGGTCATGCAAGTTAAAGGAGGTTCCTGAATTTCTACTGTACCAGAAGGAATTGCGCCAATTTGATCTTTCCAACAATATAATTTCCGGAATGTTTCCTTTTTGGTTGTTGGAGAACAATACGAAACTCGAGGTTTTGCTTCTGCAGAATAATTCATTTAGCAGCTTTCGGCTACCAAAAGCTGCTCATGATATATTGTTCTTGGATGTGTCAGTTAATGAGTTCAACCAACTCTTTCCTGAGAAAATTGGATGGATACTTCCTAACATAAGGCATATGAATCTATCAGAGAACAATTTTCAAGGAAATCTTCCATCTTCTCTGGGTAACATGGGGTATATGCACTTTTTTGATGTATCTCACAACAGTTTCAATGGGAAGCTACCGAGAAGTTTTGAAATGGGTTGTTATTCCCTGCTGTTCTTAAAGCTGTCGCATAACAAACTAAGTGGAGAGGTTTTTACTATATCACCAAACTTTACTGAATTATCTGTATTGCTCATGGATAACAACCAGTTCAGTGGAAAGATCGGTGAAGGTACTTGACATGTCAAAAAACTATCTCTCAGGTGTTATTCCAAGCTGGTTTGGAGAATTATGGAGCTTCTATATGCTATCCCTTTCAAACAATATGTTAGAAGGTGACATACTATTTTCTCTGTTCAACATGTATTATCTTGGACCATTGGACCTCTCTGCAAACAAGTTATCCGGGGCCATACGTCCACGCCTCAATTCAATGTTCAATATTGTGTTAAATCTGCAAGATAACAAACTAACAGAGACTATCCCGGACACATTGCTGGAAAATGTTTCTATTCTTGATCTTAGGAATAATAAATTCTCTGGTAGTGTTCCAGAGTTCATCAACACTCAAAACATCAGTATTCTACTTTTGAAGGGAAACAGCTTAACAGACGCTCAACATTTGTGACTTCCGCATGAGTTTTGTAGGCTATGTGACCATAGTGGTGGTGATACTTGCTTCACTCTCTTTTGATTCTCCTTTGGAACAGAGCTTGGTTTAGTGGTGTCGATGCTTTTAACCGCATGATGAGAAGTTTGTCAATTACATTGATTAAGATCAGTTATCTGTAAACTGGTCCAATGATGGTATATATACATTGTTGTGTCAATTGTACTTTTCTGTGTGTGTGACATGTTGCATGTTGCAATCACATCATGTGTCTCTTGCATTCGATCCATTCACATTAAATATATCAAAATTATCAATTAGAGATGTGATCGCATATACTTGCACGAAAAAAATAAGTATGGCAGCCAGAGTCGCCAAAGAGTTTGACTGAGGCTGAAGGAAAGATGAAGCTCATAAACCACTTACTCCTAAAGCAGAAGCTGATCGTGCATGTAATCGCAACCCTAGATGGTTGTCTTGCTTCCCTTGCTGCACAACTTTCTGTATGTAAGATCTTTTGAGTGGGTTGAGTTTGTTTTGTTTCTAATCTCTTTAACTTGTTTAGAGAAATTATTTTATTCTTCTTGGTATTGTAGAAGTACGTTCCAAGATTTACATAGCTTTTTTTTTTTGGCTTTTATATATAATCTTATGAAGTAAGCAAACAAATTTGATCTTTAAGACGCCTCTGTGGTATTTCAAGCCATTGCAGAAGGGAGGACCAATGAAGCAATATGACTCAAGAGCTGTCTTGGAGACTTGGAAGTTTAAGACCATGGAGATGTCCATTCTTGATAGTTATGGAGGCTACCAGTGAAGTCGGTGAAGAGTCCATCAACACCAATCTCATTGATCCAGTACTCGTATTCCTTGTATGGATCTTGGCTGAAGTTTAAGTGTAAGTACTCGTTTTCATTCCTGTACGTGTATGGATGCACCTGAGTTTTTTTTTTTGGTATCGCCAAGAACATGTTCAAGAAGTTAGCAACATGTTTCAAAAACCAGACACTCGATCTTAGTGGGAGTTTTGAAACAGACCTGTAGATTATGTTCATGAGCTCTTTTAACCAAATCTGTGGGGGCTTGCGTGTAATTGTTACTTACTGGAACAACTGTGTCCTTCCAAGGTCCTATCCCGACAACATATTGCTTGATGTAGTTGAAATACACATCTGATGTGATCTCCGCATAAGTCTAGAATTTGCATGAAAGATTGATCAATCACTTAAGCAAAAAAAAAAGGACTAAGAGCTTTCGGGAGCAGAGGATGGACCTGGTTAGTGTCTTCTGTTAGCACTGTTACATCGTCTATTAGTAAGACTTTTGGCGAATCTGTCAAGTTTGATATGTACACAAGTGAAGAGGGAGCAAATGATTGTATAAACAATGGTTTTTTCAACCACTTCTTGGACAAATATGAGCCTCCATAACCATACTTCTTAAGTGTCTCCACCACTTTATCCTCAAATCTCTTACCACCAGGCCACTTGACCTGTTAATATAACAGTGTTAGAGGTTTCAAAGGAGATAAAAAGCCAAAAAGAAAAAGTTACCACTCACATGCTGGTTCATTAAAACAGGATTCTTAATCTCGGGATATATACCGATAACTCGTGGAGCATCCCGAGCAATGGTAATGAACTCTTCAAATGTAATGATAGGGTACTTTCCTGGAAAAAAAAGAGCAAAAGGACATGGTTAGATGTTTCTTCCAACCATCTGAATCCAGGAAAGAAAGGATTAGCTAACCGTTGTATTGCTGGTCTCGAAAAGTAAATCTCTGTTTTGTCCTTAGTTTCTTTAGTTCTTTGAGTGTAAAATCAACTGTAAGCAAATCAAAGAGAAACCTATTAGAATGCATCAACTCAGGTATGGGAAAATAACAAAGGAAGAATCATATATGGGTGGAACGTACAAGTGAAAAAACCAGTCTTGTTGGATCCTTGGACCTCATAAGTCCTGAAACGATCAGCAAACTCCCTGTGGCTGGCAACATTGGTTGTGTCGTCAAGGGTGAAATCATGGAAACAGATAAGCACACCATCTTTGGATGATAAAACATCTGTTTCTATGAAGTCTGCACCCTCTTCAATTGCTCTCTGAAGAAAAGACAATAAAATTGCTTATAAACAAGAGAGAGACAGCCATGCATGAAGTGTCAATGGTATACCAAGTATGCAGGAGCAGTTTCTTCAGGGATCTCTCCGTTGGAACCTCTGTGTGCAATGTTATAAGGACGCGAAGTCTGAATGGGCAGCTTAGCACTTTTGCCTTCTTTACTGCCAGGGAGTGGGTATAATGTCCTTCCAGCACAGGAAGTAAGCAGAAAGAGCCATATCAATGACAAGCATCCTGTAAGTTGAACAATAAACCACTTTTTTTTATCAAACTCCCCTGTTATTCTTGATTCTCTTTTTTTTAACAAGTTGTGTCAGTAGAAACAAAAGGGAAAATCTGATCCAAAGACCCAAACTTTTCTCTGATCTTGCAGTGAAGTAGGTTTCCCAACCACAGAATCAATAGGATAAGTTATAAGCCTAATTTCTAAAGACCCAAATTTTTTTTCCTCTTTTCATTTTGCTACTCATTTTTTTTGGATGTAACAGAAGAAACTCAAAGGGAAATGATTAAGTTTTGCAAATTCCATCCACAAGCAAATGTAATACAGGCAAATGGAGAATAATAGAACAGTGAGAAACCCAGAAAAACTTTATTGACCCAGGAAACAAATAAAAGAAGTTGAAGTTGAGAAGCTTACTTGTTAGAATCATGACAATCTCTTAGATCAAAATTGAATTTCTTGTCTGCCACCCAATAGGTTCCTGTCCGTTTACTAAGAAGAAAGATTTTGGGATCTTTAAATAAAAAATAATATATCACCATTATGAGGTTCTTTTTTTCCACAAAACATTGACTTGTCTTAACTGATCTTACATATCAAAGTAAACGATAGCGATCCATCATTTTACTCATGTCACATGACTTTTAAGTGTTTTCACTAAACGAGACTTCTGACTTTCTAAAACACACAACCATTTTTTGTTGAATTTCTATAACCATGGAGGCATTTGCCTTAAAGTCACAGTCTCACATAGATTAGGAGTTTATTTCCATTTTCATATCTTACTTGCAATGGAGGGCAGGAGGGGAAGATTTTCTTGGGTCAATACTTGATATTGGTGATATTATTGTTAGGGCAGCTACATGGAAACATAAGTTGTGTTGAGAAAGAAAGGGTGGCTTTGTTGGACCTCAAGAAATACACTATCGCAAGTAACGAATCCTACCAGTTTTTAACTACTTGGACCAGTACCGACCCTGAGGGGAAGTATTACAAGCAACCGCTTCTGGCCATCAAAAAATATTTGAAAAATTCAGCCTTTTTTATAAGAAATTATTACTATAGTATATAAACATTCTTATAAAAATAGCCAATTTTTAGAAAATTGCTTCTGGTCTTTCCCATGTCAGGATCGGTACTGCTTGGACTAATTTCATAAAGAGCAATTCCTGCCGGTGGGAGAAAGTTAAGTGCGATCATACTAACGGAGGGGTTATCAGGCTTTCCATTGGTGAGATTAGTCGGTCTCACGGTCGTCGGATCACTTCCTGATTATTCCAAAAAAAGAAACAAAGGAATAATCATTCAAACCCTTAAACTTTTGAATGTGTTAAGTTTTGATCTTGCCTAAACAATTTACCTAAATTATATCAAGGATATTCTTTTGGATATTTGTTTCTTATTAGTTAAATACTAATACACTGATAGAAGATATAAAATATTGAAATAGAAAAGTTATAAACCTTCCGGCTAGTTGATACAGAAGATGCTAACAACGCCGCACTATCATATGATATAGAAATACAACTAGGCCACTGTATAAGATGCTGACAACACATACCATATGGTTGCGAGTATTTTTCTGTAAAAACCTTGACTTTGTATGCTAAAACGAGTCAAATTCATCCCTCACGCTACACATGTCACATGGCTTTTGAGTTTCTTTCACATGATTGTTTTCACTAACAGAGACTTCGACTTTCTGAATATACAAATATTTTTCTTGTGCAACTTTTGGTTGACCATATTTCTGTTTTGACATATGTAAAATAGGATAGTTATAGATGTGTTGAGGTATTTGCATTGAACTCACATAGCTTTTCAATTTCTTTCATTTGCATGTTTTCTATATATATATGAAATTTTCAATGGAAGGAAAAGTGTTCTTGGGTCAAAATCTGATATGGATGATGATACTGTTGGGACAGATTCACGGATACGATTATTGTATCGTGAAGGAAAGGAACGCTTTGTTGGAGCTCAAGAAACATGTGATCTCGCAGAGTATAGAAGAAGGCCTCTACTTTACTCTCCCTACTTGGACTAATGACACAAAGAGTGATTGCTGCAGGTGGAAAGGGGTTAATTGCAATCGTACTACTGGGCGGGTTATTGGGATTTCTACTGGCAGACTGCTCCTCAAAGAGAGCTCTCTTCTAAATCTTTCTTTGCTGCATCCCTTTGAAGATGTTCATAGTCTGGACTTCTCCGGGAACGAAAAGACAAAATCATACCAAGATGCATTAAGCCTATTCAGGGGCTTATTTGACGATGTTGAAGGTATACCACGCTTTCCCAAGTAGTAAGGTTTTAACACTATGTCGAGTTTTTGAACTTTTAACTTTCCCTACGGTTCCATCTACTTCCCCAAAGAACCTAAATGGACCATATTTTAGTTTATTGTTTTTGGTTTTTGAAACTTATACCATCTCTAACCCATTTTATTTTTTTATTGTTGAGTTTTGACTATTTACATATAGAGTTAAGATATAGATGCTCTTAATATCATCTAAAATTATGGTACTTGAATCTCCTCTGTTTCTGTATTTTACAGTCAGAACATATGGTCACTTAGATTTGGTTTCCCACGTGCACAAAGTTATAGTAAGTGATTGGAGTCAACCATGTTATCTATATGCTTAGCAGATATTCTGGTTTGCAGGTTACAAAAGCCTAAGGAAACTGAAAAAACTGAAGATTTTGGATTTCTCTTTCAACCACTTCAACAGAAGCATCTTTCCCTTTCTTAATGCTGCTACATCACTTACAACTCTGATTCTTCGGGTTAATAACTTGGATGGCCCTTTTCATGTTAAAGGTGTGTCTTTTTTCCAATTGTATAGGCATGAACCTTTTATTGATGAAGTATTTCCATTGTGTTTCAAAAAAAAAGAGAAGTGTTTCCATTAAGTCGTTTCAATGTATAGTTATCTTAATAACTTTATTTCTTAAACTCAGTTTGCACGGTTCTTATATTCGTCGAACTCCTTTTCAGAACTTAAAGATTTGACAAACTTGGAACTGTTAGACCTGAGTAGGAACAGATTTACTGGCTCCATACCAATACGAGGTAGCTCGGAACTCATGTCCATAACTTATTGCCTTTTTCCATTTAAGGGCTTGAATTTCAATCGATTTAAGGGTTGTATTGTATATAGCTTGAGGTCATCATGTTCATATCTTCTGCAGAGTTATCTGCCTTGTGGAAGCTGAAATCTCTGGATTTGAGTGAAAATATTTTTTCAAGCTCAAGATTGCAAGGCAAGTTTGCTGAAGTTTTGAATTTAACTTCTACACTTTTCGAAAAGATCATTTCTCAAGGTACAACCTTTTGTCTTTTTTTTTTTCAGACCTAAAGAATTTGAGTAACTTGGAAGTCCTGGGTTTAGCTCGAAACTATATTGGTGGACCTATACCAGTAGAAGGTGATCGTTGTTTACCTCACCTCCAAGATTATCTATTGAACAACATAACACTTTTTTAGTATCAACAGAGTATTGTGATTTCTTGAGAAGAATACTACTACTCTTACTCCACTCATCATCTTGCTATTTTCCAAACTATCTTATTTTTTGCAGTTTTTTGTGAAATGAAGAATCTACGAGAGCTCGATCTCAGTGGAAATAATTTTGTAGGTCAACTTCCTCCGTGTTTGGGCCACCTTAACAAGCTACGGGTTCTTGACCTCTCATCCAACGAACTAAGTGGAAATATACCATCTAGTTTCAGTGGCCTCGAGTCCCTAGAGTATTTATCATTGTTAGGTAACAACTTCACTGGCCTATTCTCACTCAATCCACTCACTAACCTCACAAAGCTAAAGGTGTTGAAACTTTCATCAACATCTGATATGGTACAAGTAGAGACAGAGAGTACTCAGCCTCCAAAGTTTCACCTGAGGGTTGTTGTGCTACCATTTTGCAGATTGGAGAAAATCCCAAAGTTTCTCGTGTACCAGAACAACTTGCGCCTAATTGATCTTTCCAGCAATAGATTATCCGGGAGTGTTCCTTCATGGCTGCTAGAGAATAATCCAGGACTTGAAGTCTTACAGCTGCAGAATAATTCATTCACTACCTTTCATATGCCACCTACAATAGTGCATAAGCTGCAGTTATTGGATTTTTCAGCAAATAATATCAGCGGTGTGCTCCTTGGGAATATTGGCAATATGCTTCCAAACCTGGTACATATGAATGGCTCTGATAATAAGTTCCAAGGGAATTTGCCGTCTTCTGTGAGTGAGATGAAGAACATCACATTCTTGGATCTGTCTCACAACAGTTTCTCTGGGGAGGTACCTGGAAGCTTATTCACAGGTTGTTTTTCGTTATTCTACCTTCATCTCTCCCACAACAAATTTAGTGGCCATATTCTTCCAAGACGAACTATTCTAACTTCATTGACTGTGTTGAGGATGGATAACAACTTATTCACAGGGAAGATCGGAGATGGTGGCCTAAGCTTGGTTAATTTGTCATTAATTGACATGTCTAACAATCTTCTCACAGGTTCTATTCCAAGTTGGATATCCGACTTGCCTTCTTTGATTACGTTATTGATGTCAAACAACCTCTTAGAGGGTACAATACCGCCTTCCCTGCTTGCCAATCCACGGCTTGACCATCTGGATCTCTCTGGAAACTTATTATCTGGATCCTTACCGTCAAATGTTAGTTCGGTCGGGATAAGTGTGTTCCTAGATGACAACAACTTATCAGGGCCAATTCCGAGCGCATTGTTGGAAATGGCCTATGTTCTTGATCTGCAGAACAATAAACTCTCTGGGAGTATCCCTCATTTTGACAATGCCGCGGATCTTAGTATTCTTTTGTTAAGAGGGAACAACTTAACCGGATCTATTCCAAGTAAGCTGTGTCATTTGAGAAACATCAGGCTTCTGGATCTTTCACATAATAAGCTCAGTGGATTCATACCTTCGTGTCTCAATAATTTATCATTTGGATTGAGGGGAGAAGCATACATGATGACAGGCTACACTGCAGGAATTTCCTTTCCGGGAGAGTCTTACTGGGAATTTTACAAGTCTACATTTATTATTGAGAAATTCGATTTAGACTACCCAACAGATCTAAGTGTCGAAATCAAATTTGTAGCAAAGCATAGGTATGATTCTTACTCTGGAGCATCTGAATTTCATGGAGGAGTACTTGATTATATGTATGGGTTGGATCTGTCAAGCAATGAACTAAGTGGTGTTGTCCCAGCAGAGCTTGGAGATCTCTCCAACATAAGATCCCTGAACTTGTCTCACAATTTCTTGTCAAGTCCTATACCGGTTAGCTACTCCAAGCTGAAGGACATTGAGAGCCTTGATCTTTCTCATAACATGTTACGAGGAAGCATTCCTGGCCAATTAACCAACCTCACTTCTCTTGCTGTCTTTGACGTATCTTACAACAATTTGTCAGGCATCATACCCCGAGGAAGGCAATTTAACACCTTCGACGAGGACAGCTACTTAGGAAATATTCTTCTCTGCG